ATGTATGTTCAGTCATACATTCATACAGATATGTTTATTTACACATTGAAAAAGAAGTAAATAATAATTATCAGTAAAATAAGAAAGGGGAAAGGGGGGAAAAAAAAGATACACAAAGTTATGCCGGTATGTGACATGCCTTCACCAAAGGATGTAAATGTTTTTTCTGATGGTCACTCTAATGGTATATCGGATTTTTTTTCTAGCATGACCTCTCTAATCCATTGGCCGAATGAAATGTTTAGGTTTCAGTGATTTATGTGCATACCCAGAAATTCAATGAAAAAGGTACAAAAACAAGTTGGTAAAATCACTTTACATGTAAATAGACTGAATTATAGTTTTATTTCCTAAACTTTGTTGCACTGCGGAAATATTCCATAATAATATACATATGAGCTAGTATTTTGGATCCTGGCAGCTTCATTGTTTGACTTATCATTTTGTCAATTTTAATAGACTTATAGCTGAGTTTGCACTGAAATAAGATTGCCATGCATGTGGACAGTTTAAAAGGCAATAACATTAATCATATTTTATAGCTCATCATAAATTTTGTATGTCAAATCATAGTCTACAAAGTAATTGTGGCTGCAAGAGAAATGTTGTGGACTAAAATGAATTATACGGTACAACAGCAAATTTACTTAGTTTACTCTCTGCCACTGGAGGTGAGTATTATTACAATCTACACTAAAAGTTAACATATTTATTGATCTCAAGATCCTTTACTTTATTGATTCCTGTGACACCAAACTAAACTCATCAGTATTCCTCCAGCTAGAAAGCAGGGCTGTCAATCAATTGATCAAGTTGTATTTGACCAATCTTGCTATGAATCACATGCTGTTGACCGTTAACATGCAGGCCCCCTGATCTACCCTGACCAGGCTTTACACGGCGCTATCATCATCATCATCATCTGAAACTTGCACACTTGAGAGAAATGTCCAGCCCAAAACAGAGAAGAAAAGCTGGAAAAGAGAGTAGAACAGGAGAGAGAGGGAAGGAGAAAGTGGATGCAGGGACATAATCGTATAATGTCCTTCTGGGCTATATTTAGTTCTGAATCACATATGGTTACTGGACTGAGGGCTAGAATGCAAAATACAGAAAAAAACAGCAATAACGTCAAGTTAGGAGGAGGAGAGATGAAGAAGTAGATGTAAACAGACACTATGCGGGGAAAGAGAGAGAGAGAGGCAAGCAATGAAACAATAAAAATGCAAATGAAAGGCATAAAAAACACAACAAATAGAGATAATTGGTAGAGGAGAAGGGGGACAAGCTGTTGAGTCTGCAAAGAGGAGGTGGGTTGTAAAACTTAAAGTCCAATGCGATCTCTTGGTTATTTTCTATCAAACTGAAAAGGTTCCGCAGGGACTGGGATCAACAGTTTTCCACAGACTCTTGACAGCTCTGGTTCACACTCATGGAAGCAGAGAAAAAGAAGGGGAGGGGGAGGATTGTTTTCTGAGGCGCCACCACTGTTTTGGCTATTAAGCATGAAGGAGATTACTGTGTGGGGGAATTTGCATAAACATGCTTCTCTATTACCGCCCCCATTGTTCATGATTAATGAGATTAGGGTTGCCTTTGCGCACAGATTCAAGGATGTAATAGCAGATAATTGCTTGTCTCTTCCCAAATTAGAAGTTGCGTTGTTTGATGTTTGTTTCAACATGGATTTGCTAAAAGTGATGAAGCTCTCGTTTCTCTGCCTGGTGGTGTACCTGATGGGACTGTGGATGATAAAGATGTGGAGAAAATTGAAAGCGAACTCAAGAGGAGAAGAGAAGAGGCGCTGGAAGAGAGATAGAGTTTCGTGAGGCACAGCAGCAATAAAGCACTTCAAATTGAACTGAAAAAGGGGCAAACTGGCAAAGAAAAAGCTAAAAGAGAAGAGAAAAATGGCAGTAATATAAAATACTTGGTTGAGAAAATGGTAAAGGAAGAAAATGAGGATTGTATGAAAGAGACTGAGTTGTAATAGAGAGGTGTGTAAAGAAGCAATATAAACACAGACGAAAATGTAGAAAAAAGGACTGAAATTGGCTTGAAGTATGAAGGTGAATGCGAAAGAAGGAGTGGAGTGAAGGGAAAAGAGAGGTCGGTGAGGGAAAAAGAGTGAGGGGGGGTGGAGATAGACAAAAAGAGAGGAGATTGCTTTGAAAGCTGTAGATCTGTCTGAATTGAATCACAGGCGGCCAGCTGTAAGCTCTGATAGTGCTTTGCCTCTAAATATAACAGAAACTGAGATGGACTGATACAGCCACAACAACAGACACTGAGATGGTGAGAATAAAGGAGGCGTCACAACACTGAGGAAAGAAAGATGGGATACAAAATGCCAAATCTGTACACATAAATAAAGCATGGGCGCTCAGCAGTAATTTTCATGTGATGACATTTTTAGCACATATGAATATGTTTACATAATACAACAATTTCCATGCAAGCTCCAGCTTCTACCACACACACACACACACACACATACACACACACACACATATACACAAGGATAGTATCACAACCACAACACTCCTGTATGACAGCACAGCAACCTTCCAGCATCAAGACCCATCTGCCCAGACACAGCAGCGGGAGAAACCCACTTTTAGAGCTCATCTCCGGGTGTGAGCAGCAAGCTGGTGCCCTGGAGGTCTGGAAGTCGACTCCAGACCACCACCCCACTTGAGCCCCAGGACGCTCAGGGTGTCAGTGGCAGTGATGGAGTGACAACGTCCCTTCTGGGTGAAATTAAAACCTCAACACATCATCCCTCCTCTCCTCTTTCTTATCTGCCGCTCCTTTTCCAGCACAAAAGAAACCCTCGAGACACCCTGCTGATGACAACTGTCTGTCAGCACACACACCCTCCTGCAAGATGGGAGAAATCCCCTGCAGTGCTGATACACTCTCAGACACATATGCAGAACACACACACACACATAAAGAAAGCAGAAGTGTCTTTAAACGTCACAACAGAATATACTTGCAGGAAGCTTGAGCCCAGCTGTGTTTGTTACTGACACCCCTGTGACAAGTCATGCATACACACTTCCTTTTATCTACAGCTCCTGGTTTCCTTCATCACTCTCTAACTCCCATGATGGCCTACATGTGAAGAGTCAGAGCTGAGCTTGGCATCATTAACATCCAGCACAGACAACTAATTAACACAGAGGTCATTAGCCCATGTAAACAAGACAGTATGCACACACTACTTTACTGAGTGTGCATCATATATGTTGGAGTGTGTGATAATAATGGAGGTGAGTCTCCCTGGAGAGTGTAATGAGAGTCCTGTGGGTCCAGCTGAGCTTCTTTACACTTATCAGTTGCTTCAAGCAACTGCACTGCAGCTTTTATTAAGGCTTCTTTAGTTGGTGCAGTGCAGGACTACAGTAGACGGTTCATCTTAAAGTCAACTTGAAATTCAACATACAGTGCAGCAAAAATGCGCCCGATTCTTTTAAATAAATGAAGTGATGTCATTTTTGATCCATGCAAACTATTACAACCTATAGGCTGCTGTTAATGCTGACAATGTTTCTGTAGATGTCCTCAAGGTGTCATACACAGTATCAATAAGGTTTCTGCAAAGTTCTGAACTTCATTATTCTGTACTGAGAAATCTTGGACTATTGTACGGCAGATATAAAACATTTTATGATTAATATCCAGTATAATCAATTTAATAAAATCCTGGAGTAGATACACTAGGGCTTATATCTCTGACCTTTGCTTTACTCATTTGTGGTTCATATGGAGTTATGAGATATTTTATATTTTATCTTTGTGTGCTTTTCCTACATTAAATAGTCTATAACTAGTATAAGTCCTGCATTGGAAATGTCACTTAATTAAAAGTATTTAAGTATTATTAGCAAAAAGTATTTTCCTTGAGAGCTAAATTTCTCAGGATGCAGAAAAGGGGCTCCTGTGTGTTATATGTTATATTATTGGATTATAATTAGTAACATTACATTAACATACATAGCATGTTAGTGTTGTAGTTGGTCAATGTGGAAGTAATTTTAGTATTTTATATACAGTTCAGTAATTTTATGTATAAAAGTGCAATATATTTTCTATCTGAAGTCTTAATCTGTAAAGTAAAATTGTCAGATAAATATAGTGGAGTAAAAAGTGCAAAATTTTCAAATGAATTCTAGCAATGGTAGTAATATAACATGAAAATATTATGTAAATTACAAATACTTAAATGCAGCCTACTTAGTTACTTTCCACCACTGCAAAGTATCAAATGGAGTGGTAACAGAGAGAGGAAAAGAGGTAAATGAGCAGAAGAAAAGTTGAAAAGATGTTTTTATGTTCTCTGACAGTTGAGATGTGCTTCGTCCGCCACACAAACACACACTTTCTCCTCCGCCTGGTACTCTTTCTGCTGAGCGCAAGCAATGACGTTCTCGGAGGACCTCCCAAAGCTGCTGAGCACTGCAGGTGATTATTGAGCACCTTCTTTTTAAAGCTGCTGATGCTTCTTCTTCTTCCACTTCATTTTTTGGTGTTGTGCCTGGTTTGTATTGAATGGGAGAGCAGGCACTAAGATGTTTTAGGCTACTTGAGCTTTGTGTTCACGTCAGCATCATCCAGTCCACTTAGATACAGTCATACACACACACTTAGTCTCTCTCACACGCACACACACACACACACACACACACATTGACAGAGACAGACAGTACTACCCACAGAGTAATCCATGAATGGCTGCCATCTAGTGTTCATGATAAGGAAGTTGAATAAACAGGTATGGTTGAATAGAAAGTAGTAAAGCTAAGAAGAGTTTTTAAAATTCATTATCTACACAGCAAGTTTAATCACTCAAACTTATTTTCACTCATATATATATATGATAATCTAAATGCTTTATTTGGCTGAAGTAGAAAGTAAAAAAGTAAAAAACAAACCTTTTTGATTAATCACCAAAATGTGGAGACATGTTTTTTTCCTCTGGTTAGAAATGCATTATCCATGTTGCTGAAACTCTGGATCAATTTCAACCATAAGTTGTAAACCAAAAGTGTTTTTTTTTTAACCTAGGCTCACATACACACACACATACACTGCAATGACAGTTAATATTATATAAACATTTATTCTCTGTATAGTGTTAAGGAATCAATGTGAAATCAATGTTTTCAATTACTAATAGAAAAATACCTTTGCTGCACCATGATCACTCCACATCCGTACATACAGAAAGTAGCAAAAGAACATCATAGTGTGTGTTGTGAACATTGTATAAAACAAAAAAAACAATATGAGCGTGCAAACATAACATCTATTAGGTATGAAAAAGAAAGTGTCACTCATACAAAAACGTAAAATATGTGATACATTGGCATATTTTTTATAATATTCTCTACAAAAAAATATCAGTAATAATTTCTTTTTTTAATTTCATCTTCTAGATATCAATAATGACTGTGTGCAAATTTCAGAACTTAAAATAACACCTGGCTTCTGTGTTTAAATAACCCCGTAGACCTGTGAGGAGCAAAAAACAGATAAGTCTTTGGAGTGAATCATCTTTTTTTCATATTTGGCTTCATGTGTAAAAATCAAGTAAGATAACCACAGGGTACAATGTTGCGTCGGCACATTATACAGTGTGTGTTGCTTTGAAAAGAAAAAAAAAAGGCTTTTCATACAGTGAATGTCCCAGTCAGCTGTTAATGTCACAGAGTCCAGAGAGGCAGATGAAGCCATATGACATGTGATCTCTCAGTGTTAAACACAGTGTTAAAATATGCACCAGATGCAAACGTCCCTCCAACAGTGACACTGTGATTGATTTTGGCTTCATCTAGTTCATAGAGAAGTAACACTTTTTTTAAAATCAGTTTGTCAGGATTTGTTTGATTGGCAGCCACGCTGGCCTTTCACCTGGCAGACACTCACAATGTCATATCCATTCGAGAGGTGAATCCAGTGTTCAGGACTCTAAAACAGGAAGTTCTTCGGATCAATCTTCACCTGCTTTTACGTGCAGATTAACTCTCAGGAATCTTATGGGGTTGTGTTTGACATCTTCAGTTAATCGTTTTGAGGTTTATTGGCCGGCCACAGGTCACTACGTGTTCATAGGCATAGGTGTTCATAGTGACAACATAAGATGAGTTTTTCTGATTGGTTGACCTGAGCCTGAGGGTATCCCAGCAGTGTGACGGTATCGCCCTCGCTGTCCGCTGAGGTGGAGGTTAGCACAGTCCCTCAGAGGGCTGCGGCTATAGATGGCTGTGCACTGAAGGGCAGACACACACATACACAGGACAGACAGGACACACAGGACAGAGAAGAGAAAGAGGAAAATAGATCATCACAAATGTTGGTTTGAAAAGGTATCTTTTAGTTTTTTTAAAATATATATTAGACTATATTCTATATCACTTTAATGTCATATTTTAATTTTAATTTGTAATCACAAGACAAACCGTTTCACATACATAATAAAATGTATGCAACAAAACAAAAATATTCAGCCATACTTTTTGCGTACAACTTACCATTCAAACCACTGGCTGAGAAGGTTTTCGTCAAGAAGTTGCTGTAATCCTACAGAGCCACTGACAAAATAATAAAACACCTATAAATTTGAATTAAACATGTAGGAAAAAAGTGTCTAAAATTACTACTTACTTGTATGCCCCTATTATGGTTGCTGTAGTCAGGACACTGTGAGTCAGTGGTGTTCTGTTCTCACTGAAGTCCTGTACATAGTGTGGGCACTGTTGGAACTGAGACCATTAGAGCCCAGTGTTTGGACACTGATGTGGACTGGGCCACTCAGGTCGACATTCTCCAGAATACACTGTAGAAAAAAAGCAAAATATGCAGTAAATGCTTTGCCGTTATTGAGTTTAACAGGATACAAGCTGTTAAGCGTCAGGGTAGAGATTGATACCTTGGTGCACGCTGAGCTCATGACAGATTTGTGGAAGTCCCCATCTACAAACACCTGAAAGAGGACAAGAAATAATAAGTAAGAGAAGCTTTTAGAGAAATAACTCTTCCACAATCAAGTCTGCCTGCTGTGGTTTGCTCTGCCTACCCTGTATCCGTACACAAATGTGCCGTTACTGCAGCCCAGCTCGTCAAGCGGCGGCCTCTCCCAGCCAATCATGAGGCTGCTCTGGCCCACTGTTTTGACGACCTCAACGGAGCGAACCTCAGCTGGAGCTCCTGGAGGTGGTGGGACAAAGAAATATCAAGCACAGCACTAATCTATTTATTTACCTTTTGTGTTAACCTTTTAACTTTAAAATTCTACCACAATAAATGAATATAACAGGACTCACTGCATACTGAACTTACTAATGAATCCAATCAATTTAGTAAAAGTTTACTGTCACTGTGCATCAGTGTGTTACTGTATATGGGCAATAAGAAGGGCAACAAGTG